GAAATGCTTGAAGCCCATATAAAGCCTGAGAGTTTAGACGTTCGCCCAGGTCCCATGCAAGCACGTCGTGGAGGTCGCAAAGGCCGCTGTAGCTGAAAGCCCCGAGGGGCACACACGTGCTTTGCGGGAGTTTTCCGAAGTGAATGCAAATGATGCTGAGCTGGGGGCCCTGAGAATTTTCCGGAAGTATGGGTTATCTGCTGGTTTGCCAATTAGAAGAATAAACGTTGGCCCCGGGCACCTGCAGCAGTTCCCGTACCTGGATTTCTCCGGTTGGGTCAAATATTTGCTGGACAGCAGAAGACTGGGCCAGCTTTGTGGCACAGATGATATTGGACAAATGAATATTTTGCTGGAGGAGTTTTGGGCCCGGTATCGCCAAGTGGAGCCCGACTATGAGCTGTGGGGGCTCGCCGACGCAGGGGTACGTGATTTGAGGTTCACGCTGCCCATCTACAGCCATTCTGATGAAGGGCGAACGCTGAAGAAAAAGGCGTTTTGGATTTTGTCATGCCATGGTGCACTAGGCGGCGGTACGGCAAAACACTTAGCGAGGGTGCCGGAGGCCCCCCCACGTGTGCAAGACGATGAGATGCGGCTCAATTTCAAAGGGAACACTTGGGGCACACAGTTCCTGGTGTCGGTGATGACTAGGAATTTGCAAAATACGCACCCTGACTCCATGCAGGCGGTTGTCCGAAGGTTCACCAAGGACATGAACAAGTTGATCACGGAAGGTGTGGCATCGAAGGATGGGAGCATCCGAGTCTGGTGTGCTCACCTGGCTACAAAGGGGGACCAGCCGGCCTTGATCCGGCTGGGCCACTTCGAGCGCAACTTTGCGCGATGCCCGAAGGCGGCACAATCGAAGAAGAATTGCATTGGAATCTGCCACTTATGCCTCGCTGGTGTTGAGGGTGCCAACAATCAGCCACTTCATCCATGGGAGGACTTTGGACCCCAAGCATCCTGGCGCCGCACGATGTTCCAGGAAGTTCCGTGGGAAGATGAGCCCGAGATACTCATGGGCACTCCAACGATTATGAGGGCCCAGGAGGCTTTCTTTGTTGTCGATGTTTGGCACGCTTTCCACTATGGTGTGGCGAAATACTTTTTGGGCTCTGCTTTGATTGAGGTGATCACTCACTTTTTCAACGACAGCAGCTGGGAAGCAAAGTTTGAACATCTTGGTCAGGAGTATGTTTCTTTTTGCAGATCCCTGAAACTTGCACCGTACATCACTGAAATGACCCGCGATACTTTCTCTTTCGACTCCGAGCGATCCTTTCCCATAGGCCATTGGTCGAAAGGTGCTGTTTCCAGCAACATGATGTTGTTCCTGGCTGACCTCATGCAGAGGTTGGTTGTGGGCAACACCGATAATGAGCTGTTTGCTCTCATGGTGCTTTGGTGTTCCAAATTTAATGTTGAATGTATTGTTTCGGTAGCTATATATATATATATATATATATATTTAGTTAACAAACCAAAGTTGCAGGAGTCTATATATAAGCAGGTTAACACTAGCAAGCAAGGGGGTTTCCGTGTTCTATGGGATTTATCAGACCTCATCTCAGGTGAGAGCTACGCAAGCCGCGAACCTGTTTTTCTCAGAGCTGTATGGCTCTGGCTATTGGATCCGTTCCCAGAAGGCCCTGAAGCTGGCGAAGCTGATGGAAGTGTTTTTGCTCTCCTACCAAAGGGCTGCTTGGCTATGTGCCCAGAACAACAAGAATCGGTTCCAGCTGGTGCCGAAGCTCCATATGCTGAGCCATGTGGGGAAAAAGATGGAGGATGATTGTGCCAAGGCACCATGGTGCCGCAATCCACTATGCGAGTCAGTCCAGATGCAAGAAGACTTTGTGGGTCGCCCCAGCCGTGTTTCACGACGTGTCAATACACGTACCGTTCACGAACGTGTCATAAGCCGTGCATTAGTCGCAACACACTTGCAGCTGCGCAGGACACAGATGAACTAACCACAGGTGGCATAAGACCACGTCGTGGAGTGTGATCGTTGCGCATGTGTGCCGGTGTGTCTCAAGGCTCGCTTTCGTTTGAACCGAAATATATCCACTCATCTCTTCTGAGTCTTCTGTCTGCAAGTCTTATATAAACAAGCAAGATCGATACCAAACACACCGGAGCCTAAGATGTTGCCTGCACCTCGAAGCAGTCCGCTGCCGCCAAAAGCAGATCCAGAGCAGCGCCGGCATTGAATCGAGGGTCAGGGTTGGAGGGCTAATTATGTGTATTGGGATCCGTAGCTTCTTTCGGGGAGTGGTTTGCCTAAAATCCTGTGGTGTTTTCACAGTTCCAACGACCCAACTATATTACAATCTCATAATGTCTGGCCATCACTATGCAAGTATGTTGCCTCGAGCAGATAGCGAGGGCGAGGTTCATGAGCAGCACCCCAATCCTCTTAAATTGAACTAGAAGCAACAATCATAACACCGAAGTCATTGATTCTCTGATGTGAACATCTTGGCCCACACAAAACCTTCAAATATGCTCCAACCCGTAAAACCTGGTTTTCCGGATAAGGTGCCGTAGATTCGATTAAGCTCCCGTATTTCGGTTTGGTTTTCGGCCCTTTGGTATAAATGTAGGTCAAACCGGTTGCAGGTATATTGCATAATAAAAGATACATTTGTGCCATGATAGGGGTTTCTTGGGCTAGGATACCCAGCCCTGTCAGTTGAGAGGTCTGCCTAGTTGAGCCAGTGCAGCGAACGAACTTTTTGGGGTTTTGGATAGTTCTGGCTTTGGTATGGGGGCCTTAATGGAGCCCTTTTCAGGGTTCTGCAAAGGCTCTATAGGGCTTTGGGGTTTTAGGGTTTGGGGTTTCCAGAGACTCCAGTCTTAGTGTCTGAGTATGCAACCTTTACCCTTTTGGGTTTAGGGTGTGGGGTTGGGGTAAATATATGCAATCTACTTGTTTGGGCCAGGGTACTCAGCCCCTATGGCATTCTTAACATGCGTTGCCGTGGCAGAACAGGCTCTGCTTTGAGATATGTCAAATGTTTTGTCCAGGTACAGTGTGGGATGGATTGTCGGTATAGCCAGACCCGACCCTCAACTGTTCCTAGAGGCTTCAAGTACCCCAATCATAGGGCAGAAACTATACTCCGAATCTGTTTTGGCACGTAGAACCTCGTATTTAAATTTGGGTACTTGAACCTTCAACCCTGATGTCCAAGCCTATATTTCGTTTTGACCCTCATGCCCTGCTTTCTGTAGGATGGTGGCTCTAGCGCAGCAATTGGCTGCTGAAAACGGACGAGGTGATTACTCTTGGGCGCGATGCAGCGCTCCAGCGGATCCGGATCAGGTGTTATTTGTGGGGGCCCGGCCTTGCAGTGTCCCTTACCATGGGCAGGAAAGGGCGGGGAGGGCGCGTCGGTGCTTCCCCCATGGACGGTGGCAGCGCAGCACACATGTGGTTTGCAAAGACATGGTCTTGGCGTGGCAGTGATTTGAAGCAGGTTCACCAATGCTGATCACTTGATGCAGAAGGAGGCTGTTGTCTCCATTTGAGCCCAGCCAAGCAGGGCCGTATTTGGCTTGGTTGTCCTCAATGCGAAGTTCTCCAGAACTCTTCTTCCATGATCGTTTTGTTGCGGCCTTTTGGGGTGGTAACTCTCGTATCGCAATAGAGAGGTCCTTAACCTGGTTCAAGACATTAAGCCTAAACCCTAAACCCTAAACCCTAAACCCTAAGCCTTAAGCCTTGGTCAATCGGAGGGCTTTGGAGCGTCTTCAGGCTCGATGCTGTTAAGGTTTCTATTTTCCCAGTCATAGATGCCTAGCCATAAACCATGTTACCCTGCAAAACATACGACAGTTCAGGGTCTACTCTAGGAGCCTAAATAATTACCTACACTATTTGGTTGGGGGGGGGGTTCTTTATTATAGCTGTAGCATAATAGGCACCAAAACCCTATTCCATTTATTAATGCCCCTATAGAAGGGTAGTAGAAGTAGAGCTCAGCTGGTGTTAACAAGCCCAATCATGGTGTTTTTTCATCCCAGTTTTGACCTACCAACTATCGTTCATGTGGTCGTATCTTGCTAGAAACCGACCATCAAGGACAGGAACTGATGTGCTAAGGGTTTGCCTTAACCGCAAATAGCCCGCACTTTCAAGGAATTATATGCGGAAATCATAATAAGGGAACCTGAAAAGGAAGGTTTCTTAGGGTCCCCCCCCCAAACTACCCCCTAATATACCAGGGTTTAGGGTTTAGGGTTTAGGGTTTAGGGTACCCTAAATAGCCAGTATTAAGGACCATAAGGGCTCCACTAAAGGATACTTGGGGGGGTCCTGGTGGTTTGCGAGCGCAGCTTTTGGAGGTTTGGGTCTTCTGGCTCGGAGCTTGAGGCTCTGGCACCCAGGGCAATTTTAGGGGTTTAGGGTTTAGGGTTCAGGGTCTAGGGTTGAGGAGTTTAGGGCTTTAGGGGTTTAGTAGGGGTTTAGGGGTTTAGGGTTTGGGGGTTTAGGGTTCAGGGTTTGTCCAGGAACCCTTGTATGAAAGGTTGCAGCAACAGCAACCTCCAACCCTCATCCCTGGCTCATCTGCCAATCCCAGAGCGTACAGGATGTAGAACGGAGTCCTGAATCCCACAACTCCAGGCTCTAAACTCCGAGCCACAGATACACCCCCTAAACCCTAAACCCTAAAACCTAACCTTCATCTAGCCTCCCGAGATCAACGAGAATCGTTCCTTAAGAGCCTGAAGAGTACGCTCCCTACTACAGTCTGCGGGGAGGCTGATAGCCGGAGTTGCGCATCATCCTAATATAGTACCCTAAATAGTAGGATCGACCCCAAAAGAAGGTACCCCTAATTCTCGGAAACAATTAATCTTTAATTTAATCTTGAACCGCAGATGCCGAAAGAACTGTGGACATCACCCTTCAAATTTGATATGGCTGTATAACGCTTACTCCCGAAACCCTTGCTACACCCATGCTTGTGGCGAGCCTTCTACCAGAGGTTATGGTCCTTCTCCTCATTGTCGCCAACGCCGTGACTCGGAATCGAAGACCTATGCTATAGTGGTCCAAGTAACCATTGCTACTATCTCAAACTCAGTTGCCTACGTTACCAAGTACTTTGCACCCTAAGGACACAGCTCGAACACCCTAAATCAACCTTAAGCCCTAAAAGCCTACATCTTAGACTCGAAGACCTTAACTATATAACCGAAAGCTCAACCTCGGGTACTTAGGGTATACCCATAGGCTCCATAGTAGTTCCTACGTGGGATTGCCTTATAGGATCCTAACAAATGAACCACAAACAGGAACTGCACTGAAGCTTATGGGTAATATAACGTAGTTGCGGGGTGCTGGTTAACCCTACACCCTGAACCCTAAACCCGAAATCCTAGACCCTGTAATCCCTAAGCCATGAACCCTAAACCCTGAACCCTAAAGCCTAAACCCTAAACCCTTTCAACCCGAAACCCTTTAATTCCTAGGCCATTTGAACCCTGAACCCTTAACCCAAGAGCCTAAACCCTAAACCCTAAACCCTTTCAACCCGAAACCCTTTAATTCCTAAGCCATTTGAACACTGGACCCTGAACCCGTAACCCAAGCCCTAGGCTTCCAGGGACCTTCTTATTGGGTCCTTAAGGGGTCTGGGGCCCTAACTATGGGGTCCTTGGAGGCATCGGGTAGAGCTGTAGAGTGCAAGGTGTTGTTGGGCGTGGAAATCGACGTCGCCTCCACGCTGCCGGAATCCGAGATCCCTTCCTGGCTGCCTGGCTCCTTAAGCGGTTTAGGGTTCAGTGGGGTTTAGGGTTTACAATCAAATTTAGGAGTTCTAGTATTTGGGGGTTCAGGGTTTTGAGGGTACAGAGTTTAGGGATCAGGCGTCCGGAATGGTTTTGGGTGTAGGGGATGTGTTACAGGCTTCGTTGCTTTCACCCTAAAGCTGCAATGCGGTTTTGGAATGGGGGGTAACCTTCACCGTGACCCTAGCAGATCCCCGATGAGGGTCCAGAGGACCCAGTACTTCTGCATGTGGCTTTGGGATAGCAGATTCTGAATTGGTATTGTTTGAGGGCCAATATTCTGAAGCCTTCTTTGCAAGACATGGGCTGAGACCTGTTTTGTTTTCTTCTCCTATTAACATCTTCAGCATCTTTGCTCGAGGTTCGCAGTGATGCCTGTAAAGGCGAGGGCTTCTGCTTAAGCGATACCTCTCTCTCTAAGGGTCCATGTACCCACATGTTATATACTTTGGCTTAAAGTACTCCCTTTATAGGTCCATTGGTCCCAAATGGCTAATTGGTACATGGACCCTTATACCCAAATCCTTTATAGAACCATTGAAGGTGCCCTTAAGCGATTCCTTTTAGGAACACTATTTGGCTACACAGACCCTTAGGGTCTGGATGAAGCGAGCACCACAGGTACGGCGTGGTCAACACCTTGATCGTCGCCTTCTTCGTTCTGGATCCGTTTCCGGTTTGGGGGTGTTTGAGTTTCGGGCATCGAACCCTCAAATGCTATGTGGGTGGTTTTCAAAATTAGGGTCCCTTTTTGGGTATCCTAAATATTAGGTGCCGTACTATAATAAGGGCCCAAAGAGGGACCATAATTTTGACAACCACCCATGTGTGTTTAGGGTTTAGGATTTGGGTTAATTAGAAGCCTCAAAGGCTGAAAGTGTTTAGGGTTTCGGGTTAGGGTCAAGGGAGTAGGGGTGAAGTTCCTGTTATGGTCTTAGTAGCTGAGTAGGTAACCTTAAACCTTTAGGGGTCTATATAATCCTACCATAACTGAACAGTTTAGCCTTTTTTGGGGCTAGGGTACTCAGCCTTTAGTTGTTTTTTTTCGTTTTCGTCCCTACTCTCTACATCCAGAGCGTCTCATGAGGGTTCAGCTTTACAGCGCTTGGTGTGTAAGTTGTGGGAGACGATGATCGCTGGTCTAGGTCTACTTGGAGGATCATGGGACATAGTATGTAAGGTTATAAGTACGTTAATTGGGGTTATAAGTATAGTTACCCTAATTCTAACCCTAGTTACTAAGTCCCATGATCCTTTAAGTAGAGTCTAGGAGCCTTGAAACTCGCACCCCCCGCAATCCCAAGCCCTGCATTCAAAACTCAGCGAGGGTTTATAAGTGTTTGGAGTTTCAGAGGAGTTTGAGGTTTAAGGTTGGCGGTTTCGGGCTGAGCTTTAAAGTGTTTTGCATGTTGAGTGAGCTTTTTGCACTCGGGAAGTGCAGCGGACGCTCTAACCCCAGTCGGTGTAGCTGTGAGAGCTACCAGAAGTTTCTGTTGATTTCTGCCTGATCTTGAACGGGTCAATCAACATGGTAAGTTTGCACTGCACCTGTGCAATGCCCTACACGAGAAGTTCAAGGTTAGGGCTTTGGCGTTTTAAGGTCAGGGGTTGAGGCTTTACCGTCAAGGGTTTGAGGGCTCTAGGATTTTAGGGGTCCTCAGAATAAGGATCCTACTATGTAGATTGACTATATGTGGGTCTCCTATTTTCGGAAACTCCCATGTGAGGAGATTGCGATGAAGTTCTTCGCCTACGGCTGCAGCGGCTTCTGGCGTGGACCCGGCTCAGGGTGGAGACTTGGCACCCAGACATCCCGAAATCCCTCAATTAAGGAATACACCGTACCTTAGACTATAGAAGGATCCCGAGTATTGTTTAAAGTATATCCTGAATTACAGAAAGGATATTAGAAGTCCTTGGCACCAGATGTGTTGGATTTTGCGGGTTCTGCTTGTGCCTCCGCAAAGGTGTAGGTTTTTTCAACTGTGGATTTGTTTCTAAATCCAAAAGCTTAATGTTTAGACCCTAGTTCCGATCGCTGGTTTTACGGTTTCGTTTCAATCCGAGTTTCTGAAAACATCGGAGCCTCTACTTAAAGGACCATGTGACTTAGTAACTAGGGTTATAATTAGGGTAACTATACTTATACCCCCAATTAGGGTACTTATAACCTTACTTACTAAGTCCCATGATCCTCCAAGTAGTGGAGAGATCGGAAAAGGCCAGGGTTGCTCGGAGAAGGAAGCCTCGACAAAAAAAGGAGCCTCAATGTCAGGCCGTGTGAACAGGAGCATGTTGCCCGAGAACATGAATAGCTTAGCCCAAAGGGTCCGATGTACTGTTATGGGGGATACTTCCCTAAGTCATAATAGTAATTCCTAATATGGAAACCCTACATTCTACTATATCGGTACATGGGACCCTTAGGGTAGATACTGCCCCCATACAGTCAGAGTCTATAATAGGGCAGCTATTAAGGTCCTAATAAATCTGTATTATGAATATTATTCAACCATTTCTCAGTGGGGGCCGTACCCAATGAATAGCAGGTGTTCAGAGGCCCATGATTGTTGGAGTGCTTCGTTTCACGGCATCGAACATGACGGTTGCCACTATCACCAGAACGACGAAGCGTACTGGTGCTGCTGCTGCTGCTGCTGCTGCTGCTGCTGCTGCTGCTGCTGCTGCTGCTGCTGCTGCTGCTACTGTTGCTACGACGACGACTACAGTACTACATACTACCATATACTACCATCTACTACTACTACTACTACTACTACTACTACTACTACTACTACTACTACTGCTGCTACTCTCCCTACTACTACGACGACGATGACGACGACTACCAGCAACAGCAGCGGCAACAGCAGCAAAAGTAGTATCTCCAACAACAGCAGCAGCAACAGTTATAACACTCACAACGGTATCGAACATGACATTGTCGACCACGGCGCCGACAACGCTTTCGCTTGCTGTTCCGTGCGTTTTCCGTCATGATAGTGTTGTCGCCACTGTGGGTGCAAGCCACCGAGTCCTGTGCTGTCTTGTTTTCTGCAACTGGCCTCCGAGGAACATATTTGATTTCGTGATCGTCGCCCTATCTGCTGTGGAGACGGCTTTGGACCTTTTTGCGAAGACCATTGCTTCTGAAATGTTCGGCTCCGATGCACTCTCGGTGGTGCGCACACTGCGACTCGCACGAGCACTGCGAGGATTCCGAGCTTTCCGGTTGGTTCGACACTTCAGTGCATTGAGGGCTTTGATCCTTTCGATTGTCAGCACGATCGGCTCGCTTATGTGGACCTTGGTGTTATTAGTCATCCTCTTCTACTCCTTCGGCGTCATTCTGATGCAGCTTGTGACCGACTACTGCCGCTATCTGGCGATTGAAACCGTCGGTGATGTCAATGCCATTCCCGATTGCCCAACTGAGCTCAGCCGCCGCTTGACTTAAAAGGATTACGGGCCTTAGCGTATACCTCCAGCTTCAAAAACCTGTTGTATTGTAGTTTCTGTTTGTAAGCCCTAGTATGGAATTTATAGGGGCCCCACAAAATAGTGGGTTCCGGTTGCTTAGGGTAGGGTTCACAAGCCGATATAGTCTGAGAACAGCTGTCGCGGTGCATGGACTAGAAGAGTATCCTAAGCACCAAGGGTTCATTTAAACTAGCTTGACAGTTCAGGGTTGAGGATTTAGCTTGGCATTTAGCATACATCTAAACCCTATTGCTGCCTATCACCTTAACATCTTGAGAAGACATTGTTCTGCCCGAGATCCCGATTTCCTCGATCATGTTTCTTTGCCGTCAGAGTCGTCGCAGCATACGTCACCAAGCTTGTTGCAGAGGTCCGATATGCTTTGGTTGACAAATATGGCTTACTGTAGACAAAACGGGGCATCCTCAAGATTTTGGTTCAGGGCTCTTGGTGCAGGATAGAGGGTTACCCTTAACCCCTAGCTTCCGGTCTTTGTTAGTGCGGGGATGTTTGAAATTTAACGGTAGCTTCCTTACGGAAACCCTCCCTAAACCCTAAACCCTAAACCCTAAACCCTAAACCCCTAAACCCCTAAACCCCCCAAACCCTTGATCTGGCAACCCTGAAGCCCGAAACCCCGAAGCCGAAACCCCAAACCCGAAACCCTAAAACCTAAATCCTAAGACCCTAACCCACCCTAAGGGTCCATGTACTCATATAGTATATACATTGGCCTTAATGTAGTCCCTATATAGGTGCATTGCGGCCCATGTATCTCTATATGGGTACATGGACCCTTAGGGCCAGAGAGCCCAATACCCTCAACTAAGGCTTAAATTATATAGGGCCCTCATCTTATGACTCAAGATATATTCCTTAAATAAGGGGGTGTTGGGCTCTCTGGGAAAGCCTTGATCCCCGCACCCTAAAGTTCTGAGGCCCTAAACCCTTGAAAACCCCAGACCCAAAACGCTAAATACCCTAAACCCGAAAACCCTGAGGCCCTAAAGCACTAAAGCCCTTCCCTTCAGTTTGAGATACGTCGAACTCCACAGGTTTCTCAATACCGTCACCTGAAAGTATTTATGTTATATTTCGTAATTACCCTGCAATTAGGATTCTTACTGGAACCAGCCCTGCAGCCACAAGCCCCCCACCGCCGTACGGATCTTTCATAGAACCCTTCAAGGAGCCTTCGAACTCCCCAGACGGACCCTGGAACCCTACGACAGGTTGTGCGGGTCCTTACTGGAACCCTTGACAGGAACACCTGTTTATTATTATTATTATTATTATTATTATTGTTATTATTATTATTATTATTCTTATTATTATTACTTCTTTAAAAAAAAGGGGGAAGACCTGCCCTTAACGAAACCCTCAAGGGAAGCCTAACAGGATGCCTTAAAGGGGATCCCTTAAAGGGATCCGTAGAGTCCTAGACCCTAAACCCTAAACCAGGGACTCTGAAGGGCCCCTAAGAGTCCCTCGACCTTAAACCCTAAAGGCTTAGGGTTTAGGACTTAGGGTGTAGGGTTCAGGGTTTAGGGTTCAGGGTTAAACCCCCTAACCCAAAAAGGGGCCGTGAAGTTCTCAGGTTTCTGGTCCAGCATTCGCCAGAGCATGCTCACGCTCTTCTTCTCCATCACCAGCGGTATCTCCTGGTCGGAGGCCTTTTTTGAAAGTTCGAGTTTTGGGTTTAGTGTCTCCAGAAGAGGCCAAAACATGGCTTTAGGAGGATGTGTGCTAGGATCCCTTCTACTTTACCTTAGGAGCACGAGGATAACCATGTTCCAACTTTCTGGCTTCTACTATAGACTATAGGGTTCTAGGGTTTAGGGTTTGGGGTTTAGGGGTGTGGCGTTTAGGGGTTTTGGGGTTTAGGGTTTGGGTTCTAGGGTTTCGAGTCATTTTCGATGGGCTCTCTTGATCAGGGCTCCTTTAAGGGAGGCTTGAACCATTTATGACTTGATGGGCCTTAGGAGAAGGGCTTAGGGTTCTTCTACCTGGGTTTGGAGTACCATACTTGAATGTATTGTTTTGGTACCTGTTCCTTAAAGGAACCATTATGAAACAAAAGTCTATACTTTTCTGTCCCTGGTTACTTCAGTCCAGTCTAGATTCAGGGGTTTGGCAGGCTTTGAGAGCCAGGGTTTAGGGTTTAGGAGTCAGTTGGCCCCATTTTCGGATCCTTTCAGGGCTCTTCAAGCAATAGCTTGATGGTGGGCTTCCGAACGGTGGTCTAGGACTCTGGTTGTCTAAGGTTTTGGGTTTGGGGTTGCTGATTTTTGGATGGCTCGGCTTTAGGTTTGAGGGTTTGGCCAAGGTGGGTGGTTTTAGGGTTTCAGGTTTAGGGATGGGTGATCCGCAGAAGGCTTCTGTAAGGGGTTCTTAGGGTGTCTTAGGGTTGCTCTTGCTGCAGTCTCCTCAGGAATGTGTTATATTTTGTTCACATAATACCCAAGAGAATATCAAAAATGGTATTTTCATTATGGTTCTAAGGGGGGTATAGTAAAGGTCTCGACCCATCTTTGGACATCCTTAAGGGGGTGGTCTCAGGAAAATCCACAGGGCCTCTGAGAAGCAATGCCTCAAAAGAAACTCTAACCCTTAGGCTCTAAGGACTCATATCTTAAGGCTTTTGGGCCCAAAGGCCATACTATATAAGGCTCTTGGGCTATTTTGAGCCTTAGGGTAAGTCTAAGCCCTAAAGATTCAGGTACCGTAGCCGATCTATTTGGTCTGTTTTGGCGTTCTTTCTGCAGGGAATCAGTACTTGCGGGGGGTTTGCAGGTTCTGGGTTTCGGGTTGCTGGGTTCGGGGTCGGGAGTACCGGCTTTTGAGAACGCTGGGTTGAAAGCTTGGGTTTGGGAGTTCGGTGTTTGCCCTAGACCCTAAACCATTCATGTGGGTTTTCGGGGCCTAAACCCCAAACCGACTAGACCGAGGCGTCATGCAGAACGAAACGGAGCCCTTCGAAACAAAAAACCTACTCCTTGAACCCTGAACCCCCCTAAACCCTAAACCCTGACCCTTACCTAGACCCCCCCCCCCCCCCCCACTACCGCTTATTATGCCTTGAATCCCCACTATTAAGGGCCATAAGGGTTCTAGGGAGATCGACCCTTCAGGTCCATGTAGCTGTTTTTTTGGTGTAGGGTTTGGGGATCAGGGTTCAGGGCTCAGGGGTTGGAGGTTCAGGGAGTAGGGTTTAGGGATTAGGGTTTAGGGATTAGGGTTTCGGATGTAGGGTTTAGGGATTAGGGTTTAGGGATTAGGGTTTCGGATGTAGGGTTTAGGGATTAGGGTTTAGGGATTAGGGTTTCGGATGTAGGGTTTAGGGATTAGAGGTGTTAGTACCAAGGTATATACTACTTTCTAGTTGGGCTCATGGACGCTGAGTGTAGAGTATAAGGGTATTCTGTAGTTTGATGAGTAAGCTGCAGAAGGGAGCTTTCGGTGTATCTTCACGGCCAAGGGTTGGCGCAAGTGAATGGGAATCACGTTTGTGCTGCCCTTAAGGGTCCATGTGCCCATGTAGTACATACTTTGGCTCCCAATGCTCGTATATAGGGAATATTTGAGGCCAAAGTATATACAATTTGGGTACACGGACCCTTCAACCCTAAACCCCTCTGGTCCCCTTTATAGCACTCTGATAGGAGCCCTTAAAAGGAACCCTATTTCCCAAAGGGTCCTTTGTACTGTTTTGGGGGATACTTCCCTAAGTCATAATAGTACTTCCCAATATGGAAACCCTACATTCTACTATATCGGTACATGTACCCTTATAGTATATACTCAGGCCTTAAAGTACCTGTATAAGGACCCCTTTAAGGCCTAAGTATCTACTATAAAGGCACATAGGACCCTTTGGGTTTGGGTACATGGGCCCATAGGTTGGTGTCGATGTGTAGCTTTTTCTGCTCCTAGTAGTAGAGTAGGTAACCTTTACCCTTTTTTGGGTAGTATAGTCCTTAAATAATCCCTATATCATCCCTATATCATCCCTATGCAATCCCTATATAATCCCTAAATAATCCCTATATAGTCCCTATATAACCCCTATATAACCAACGAAGTTAACTTTAAGTTCTGCATGCTATCCGACAAGTAGGGCTACACTGTGTGGACATGGGAGACGTCTGGTTGTGGCAGGACCCAACCCTCCGCCCCAAACACCAAATCCCCTGTTACTGTAGGAGCCTTAATGGTTCCGTTTAAAGGGTTCCTTAAAGGGCTTAACAAGGGATCTATAAGGGTGCTACGTATGATATAGGGGCCTGAATAGTTTCTATTGTGGGGGCTCCCTATTACGATTGTGGTATAGTGGGCCCCAGAACCTTATTCTATAATTATGAAGGCTTCAAGATTACGAGAGTTTTTTCTGTGTTGCTCTGCATCGAGGCCATGAACCCGTTGGAGGATGTGTCTATGCTGGCAGTCGCAACGATGCTCGTGTACATCACACTTAGCGTGTTTACCATCCTCAATGTCGTGACCGGTGTCTTTGTAAACACTGCTCCTTCCCGGCAACGTCAGTCCTGTTTTGCTTGCTTTGGTCATTCAAGTGCGACTCAGGGGCCTTCCTCTACTAATTCATTAAGGCCCTGTAGGAGTTTGACTCCTTTCAGCTTGGGATTCATAGGCATAGGCCTAGACCCTGCCAGTGCAATGTCCGTCAACTACGGAATAGAACTTGAACGATTTGAACGGTATTAGGCGTCCCTCTAGACCTTCCTGTAGCCGAAGAGACCTACTTTTTTATGGTTCCTTATTTTGGCGTCTACACATGGTTCCCTAAAAAGGTAGGTCTTTTGGGCTCTATACCTTCAGCCAGATTCTTTCCAGACCCTACAGTGATCCCTCTATACCTTCAGCCAGATTCTCTAACCCCAACGGTCCAAGTACCCAATAACCATATACTCTCCAAAATCCTAACCTACATAACTACTATCCTAAAACCGAGTACCTAATCATTGGGTCCTTTGGACCCTTGGGGTAACAACGGGACCCGTTTCCCCAAACCCGCGTAGGGTCGGCCGACCTCTGATGCTGCCCGGTGCCTCCCGAACTTAACTCCCATTGGTATCCTTGTGGGGAATAGGGTTTAGGGTTTTAAGGTTTAGGGTTTAGGTTTTAGAGCTTAGGGAGTACTTTCTCCCATCGTAATAGTGATTCCTCGTATAGAAACCCTACAATCGACTGTATAGGTACTGAGGACACTAAACCCTAAACCTTCTTAGTTCTCTTGAAGAAACCTTTACAGAACCCTTAGAGGTAGGTATTTAGATCCCTCATACTACTACCCTTACAGATCACTTTAAAGGAACCCTCATGTACTTACCCAAAGGGTCCTATGCACCGATATAGTAGAATGTACGGTTTCCATATTAGGAATTGCTAGTATGACTTAGGGAAGTATCCCCCATAACAGTACAAAAGACCCCTTGGGTGAGGGCCCTCTGGGACTGAGGCTATCGAGCGTGCGAGTGCAGACAAGGAGATCGCCTCGCTGAAGGCGCTGCAGAGCCTCGCCTTCGACTGGGTTTTTTGTTGAAAAGGGCGGGGGGGGTTGGGGTAGGGTTTAGGGTTCAGGGGTTCAGGGTTTAGGGTTTTAGGGGTTTAGGGTTAAGGTTAAGGGGGGGGGGTTTAGGGTTTGGGGGTTTCGGGGTTTGGGGGTTTAGAGTTTAGGCTTTCCTGGGTGCTTGTTGAGGACCTTAGTTGAAGTTGCCACAATAGGGATCTATACTTGGCGTTCTTCTGGTTGGCTCTTAAGGACTTGAACTTTTTTCTATATGAACCATAATAAGGAGGCTGAAAGTTTAACTTTTTGCAGGGGTTCAGAAGTCAGGCCAGTATAGTAAATATGATGGTTTCTTGGTTATGGTACTGTTCATTGAATCCTGTAACAAGAACCAGTGGACCAGACGGCAGAAAGTTGGAACATCGAAATGCTCCTAAGCCTTGTGCAGTCCCGTGCGCCTCGCAGTAGAGTAGACGGCAGAAAGTTGGGACGACATCATTATCCTCGTGCGCTTAGTATAGGGATTTCTAGCATCAGTCATCCTAAGTCCATGTTCCAAGTTTCTGGGCCTCACACTACTTTGACAAGAAAGTTTGTTTTGCCCTAGACCCTATAAACCCTGTTAAACCCTTAAACCGTGTTCAAGCGCATGCCTGAGCGCTACCAAGTCCCAGTAAACACGAGAGCGTGAAGAGTCAGCAGTTGCGATTTGTCCATACACGGGTACTCTAAGCGGGTTGTTAGGGCTCCTTCAAAGGGTATATGCTGCAGTCCTGTATATTCGCAAACCCTCTGCCCTTGTTTGGTAAAGGGGCTTTCGTTACAGAGCGATAATTGAAAACCACCTGTGATGGCACCTGCTTGCGCTTGACGAAAACCATGGAGGCCTGCAGACAACAATTGCCATCCTACATAACTTCCACGTACCCTTCGAACAGCCCTTCCCAGAAAGCCCAATACCCCTTAATTAAGGAAAAAGCTATATTCCTTAGTTACGGGGTATTGGGCTCTCTGGGTTGTAAGCACCCTATTCCGTCAAAACGTCCAACTTGATCATCTTGATGCACCCCCAAAGGCTCCATGTACCATTATGGTAGATACTCATGCCTTAAAGGGGTCCCTATGTAGGTACTTTAAGGCCTAAGTATATACTATAAGGGTACATGGAGCCTTAGGGACCATGGCCGGGAGTTTGCGGATAGTGGCGTCTTCCGCAAGATGCGCTCCAAGCTAGCCCTGACTGCGTGCCAGACCCGCTCGAAATCCTCCACGTTGTGGGGACGCCAGAGTACTACAAGGGCTTGCCCCAAGGGTCCAAAGGACCCAATAATTAGGTACTCGGTTTTAGGATACTAGTTATGTAGGTTAGGATTTTGGAGAGTATGTGATAATTGAGTACTTGGACCCTTGGGGTTGGAAGTGCACGACAGAAAGTGGATTGACGTGGGTGGTACCAACGCACAGGGGCTGGCAGAACATCTCCACGAGGACCGAGGTGCACGACACAGTCACTGTTGAGATCCAGGAGCTGGTGTTCAAAGAAGGCGGGTCGAGCACAGAGCCTGTGAATTCTGGCGACGTGGACGAGGAACCTAAGCCCTTAACCCTAAACCCCAAACCCTAAATCGTGGCCGGCCCCCGAAACCTTAAACTGAACCCTCAAGCCCCAGAGCTCAAGAACCTGATCCCTTGCACCCGATGTTAGGCAGATTGAACAAATCATATGGGTAGTTCTCTAAATGGGAGTTTCCGAAAATAGGGGCCCTAATACAGTGCCCCCAAATAGTAGGATCCTTATTATAAGGACTTCAAATAAGGTACCCCTAATTTTTGGAAACTCCCAAATCAAGGCTCCTATTTTCAGGTCCCAGACATAGTACATCAGCATGAATTATACAAGGGACCCCCTCAAAGACCCGAATTTAGAAAACTATCAATGCTACTCACTACATCTCCTGACTGATAAAGTATAGTACAGTATACCCCAGAATTTGATTCTAATTGTTGCGGCCCGTACGAATACCGCGACATGCTCTGGGTTCGGGTGCAGGGTTTAGGGTTGTGAAAGGGTCCCTCAAAAGGGCTCCACAGGGGATCTAGAAAGGTTTAGAGCTTTTAAAGGCGTTCAAGCTTCTACTGCCCTGAGGCTCCATGTACCCGTATGGTATATACTTGCGCCTTAAAGTACCTATATAGGGACCCCTTTAAGGCTTAAGTATCTACTATAACGATACATGGAGCCTTTGGGCTGCATCCCCGAACCTTACACCCTAATTACGCCTTTGCACTCCAAAGCCCCAAACACCTGCACAACACCGCACCCCTTAAGCCCAAAGCCCAAGACCAAACCGCGAGAAGCGGTTTATAGAGCCCTAGACGCTGTAGGACTCTCAATTACCAGAGCTTCAAAGTAGACTCATCAAGCCCTACTAGAAACCATTAAAGACCTTCGAAGCAGCCCTTGAAATGGGAACCCCGGAGAGGGAGCCCCTTAAAGGAACCTCCTACAGGAACCCTTAAATGAAGCCTTCAGCGGTGCGGTTTCGAGGAGCCCTAAAAAACCCTCATCCCAGGAAACGCAACGAGCAGATGCAAGCCCTCCAGAGCGCTCCATGGCGCACTTTTGGGGTTTATGGTTGAGGCTATAGGGTTTTGTGCTTAGGATTCAGGGTTTATGGTCGGATATCGGGTTAAGGGGTTTAGGATATAGCATGTAGGTTTTAGGATTTAGTGCTTAGGGTTTAGGATGTGCAGGGTTTAAGACTTTTGCAAGAGTTGAGGGGTTTCCGATACAGGGTTGAGGGCTTGGGGGTTAGGTTTGTCAAGAGCCCTCTTTCCTGCCAAGTAGCTGACTGTACTCTATCTATTCATCAACCTATCTATGTATCCGTCTACCGATCGATCGATCTACCTATCTATCTAGCTACCTATCTATCTACCGATCTATCTATCTATCTATATTTCTATCGATCTATCTAAGTCGCGACCTATCTAGTCATCTACCAGTCTCAGCCTATCTAGTTTTATGCCAAACTAGCTATCTTGTTTTGCATGTATGTATGTATCATCTATTTGTCTATCTGTCTTTCTACCTACCATCTATCGAAGTCGAACTGGGGTTCAGGCAGTTCGATTCAAGCAATATATACAGGCCTGAGTATATATATATATATATATATATATTAATATGCCAACTTGCCAACACGGCCCTGGAGGGTTTACATACAGTACTTGTCGCAGAAAATGCCCTAAGACCCTATTGAAAGTGTTGAGCCCCCCCTTGTAGAGTGCTGCTTCAAGAAGGCCCCTCACTGCGAATGCCCAGCTGTTCCCTAAACCCTAAACCCTAAACCTCACTGCGAATGCCCAGCTGTTCATCAGCATCATCCCGCACATCCAGGCCCTAAGCCTTTGAGCACCAAATCGCGGCAGAAGAGCACAAATCCGAAACTCCAAAGCCCTGCACTATAGGGGCCTGAATAATTACCTACAACAGTGTTTGGGGTTCCTAATTACAATTATAGCATAAAGGGCCCCAAAACCCTACTCTAATTTTTCTGGCCACTATATTAATCCGTACATCCCAAGCCCCGGCAACTTCGACCCACCAGGTTTTCGAAGAGATGAACCAGGACCGGGGCTCCGAGGAGCTCAAGGCACAAGGATTTGGGTCTTGGTCTGCGGTTTCCGCAATTTTCCGGGATCAAGAGAGTCCTACCTTAAGCTACAAAAAAAACCTACTTTTGTGTAGGGTTTTTATGATAAACATTAAAATGTCGATTTCATCAAGACCCTACAACAAAGTAGGTTTTGGAAGGTCAAGGTCGGTATTTGTTTAAGTGGAATCTACATGTTCAAGCCGGGGTTTGAACCAGGGCTTGGGACTTGAAACCATGCGCATCGAAATCTTAAGACCCCCTACCAAAATACCCCCATAGGGCTTAGGGTTTAAGGTTTAGGGTTTAGGGTAGGGCTTGGGGTTTCATATAGAAGCCGCAAAGGCACCTTCAAAATCCTCTATAGGACCAGTGGACCAGTAACCAGTGTTAAACAACTATCTTCTTGAAGGATCTTGTGGTAGACAGATCCAATTGCTTGCGCTCATGACTATAGCAAGATGTGGCCGGAGGATCTCGTGGACTGTGGCAGTGAATCGTTGCTGCTGTAGGGGAATGTGAATATGACAGAGTTGATAGCAGAGTTACAAAAGCCAACAATCGGCAGCTGCATCTCATCAATGGAGAGCCCGAGCAGATCTTAATTTTCAGCTGCGTGTAGTCAGTACCTTCCCATCCTACGGTCGTTGTCGTCGTCTGGGTGTCTGGGTGTGGTTCCTGGTAAGACTGGTCTGAGCTTCGCGCGAAGCGCAACACCGGGAGTCGGTAGGGCCACGCAGACTCACGGAAGTGCATATGGGTGGTTGTCAATATTAGGGTCCCTTTTCGGCTCCTGATCAAAATGCGGCACCTAATATCTAGGGTATCCAAAAAGGGACCATAATTTTGACAACCACCCATTTAGGAAAGGCCTTTGTAGTGTCTAGGGCTTATGGTGCTCGGTCATGGGCACAGGGGCACATCTAGAAGATTTATCACTGTACTCACAGTGTGCCACGTACCACTTCCCAACGAGACCTGTCATGTTTGTTTGATCTGGTGAAGGTTGACGATTTAGAGGCAGCCGTAAACGTCGACAAGCTGGACAACGTGCTGGCGCCTTGCCTGTTCTCAAAGGGCTCAATTTGCGGGATGAAGGTGGGTGGCGAACCCAACTGACATAAGACCTTCTATGCGGGATCCTGAATCCTACGCATGCAATCATCCCACCGTTCGAGGGCACTAATCAGTTTCTCAGGGCATAGGTGCTGCGACAGCCACCAAGATCGAAATCACAGAAGGACCTTGCGGATTCAACAAGAACCGAGTGTGAGAGCAGAAAGGACGTCAATGAAAGGAGCAGACCCGCAAACACACCGCTGGAAGGCACTGTGGGCAAGTTGCTCAACCCTGCTAGAAGGGTCAAAACCATAGGAACTCTCGAGTTTGCTTCCATGTCTTGAGTTTCAAGATACTGACTCATCTTTCACCTATAAGTTAACCCTAATTCAAAGGGGAAAAGGATGGACCCTTAATGGGGACCCCTACCCCATAATGGGCTATATAATGAGTATATAATAGTTATATTAAGGGTATATACCCAGAGGTCCTTATTAGGGGTCCCTCCTTTTACCCTTGGGCTAATGACGACTGAGGAGTCGCTGGGCATTTCCACGGATGATGTGAAGACCCTCTTCAGTCTCATCGCTGCTCGGGATTAAGATCTTCAGATAGGCTACCTTAAGCCGGAATAACCTACCTTTCTAGGGTCCCTTAGTATGATGGCCTTATATAAATCCTGAAAAAGGTAGGTTATTCCGGCTTAAGATAGATATTCGGATAAGCTGAAGGGATCCGGGGTGGCTGAGTAGGTAACTTGCAACCCTTGTTGGCCCAGGCCTGCCCCATCAACAAGATTGGGGTCGTAAGGGTTCCTGCAAAGGTTCTTTCAGTATATGGGGTTCCAGATCCCAAAGAGTCCTAAGTACCTGCATAGTAGCTAGTAGGGTTTCTACAATAGGCATTGGTATCCTGAGTATGACTCATACAGGTACTTATGACGCTTTGGGACTAGGGTTCCAAAAGAAGATAAGTGTTGGGTGCAGGAATCTCAGTCCAGCGGATGGGCGCATGTACATTACGCGCATTTCCAAGGGTAAATGGAGGGACCCTTAATAAGGACCCCTAGGTATATACCCTTCATATAGCTATTATATACCCATTATATAGCCCCTTATAAGGTAGGGGTCCCCATTAAGGGTCCCTCCTTTTCCCCTTTGAGCATTGGTCCTTAAGTACCTTTACAGGAACGCCTTTCTCAAGGCAACGTATGTACTACATGGACACATTGAACCCTGAGGCTCCTATGATGTGGATCAGGGGTATAGCCCCTAGATGTCTGAGATGTCGCAAGACACCCTGATCTAGGCCGTTGAAACGGCTCTCTAAAGCCCTGCAAAATTTAAAGGCAGAGCCCTAATTACAACCCTAAGCCCTAAATCCTGATTTGCACCATAAGCCCTAGTGCTAGCTTTGTAGAGGTCGAACTCCCGGTTGCAGTTGTGCTTTCATATAGAACTCGCAATGAATACCCGTTTGGGTGCCGAATCTCCAGAGACTCATAAGTGCAAGAAGTTGCACGTAGCTTCAGAAGTGCCGACTAACCAGTGCATGTAGGACAGCAAGATGCTGCCAGCATGAAAACCTCAAAAAACAACTGCAAGGATCAGCGAAAAAAGAAGAATGATGCAGCAGAGACAGAAGCCCTCAGAATTTCGACGGGAGAAAGCCACGATACAGGTCAAAGGCCATTTGGAAATGAAGGGACCCTTTGACACCACGCAGTTGCTCCACACGACCACACCGGGAGGAGCGCTACATGCCTTCCCACAACTCCTTTCGATGTTAATACCAAAAGATGTACACCAAAGCACATTGACATTGTAATCATGAAAGCCACTAAATGACGCCCACTTTACTCAACCCTTGCAAGAACTCTACGAAAGAAGCCTTATCAGTAACTTACTCGAGTTTACTCTGATTGTATATATTATCGTTGCCATCGCGTTTTATTCATTTATTCATGTTAATATTGCTGCTATTGATGTTATGTTGTTCTTGGTATTATTAAACCTTTATTACCATTATTACAGGGCCTATTTTTATTCTTGTTTATAAGGGCGCCCTACGTTTCTGGAGATATTACCCTATACCCCAAACCCCTAAAGCCTAAACCCCTAATCCCCTAACCCCTGCAAACCCTAAACCCCTAAACCCCCGACCCCTAAACCCTAAACCCTCGGCCCCAAGCCGTGATACTTGGACCCTTCCATTTCTGGAGATCCCGGTGGCCGAGGATGCCGATGGAAGCGGATCGATCGACCTCCAAGAGCTTCTTGGAGCCACAGTTTTTAATCATAGGGGCCGAAATAGGGTTCTATATAAGGGGCTTGAATAATTGCCTGATTATAATTATGGTATAAGTGGCCTGAATATTTACCGATATTAGTGCGGGGTTGAGTTTATAGCGGCCTGAATATAAAGGTATCCTTCAAGGGTTCCTTAAAGGCTTCCTATAAGGGATCTATAGGGTTTAGGGTTTGGGAGTTTCCGAAAATCTGGTGTACCTTGTTTGGGGTCCCTGTCATCAGTAATATAGGTGCCCGAATATTGACCTATATTGTGGGGGTTCCTGATTATACTTATGGTAAAATGGGCTCCAAGACCCTATTCTGAATATTAAGGCCCCTATAGCAAGCTCTGCTTCGGGGTTTAGGGTTTAGGGGTTTAAAAGTTTAGGGTTAAGGGTTCAGGGGTGGAGGTTTAGAGGTTTAGGGTTTCATGGGCCTTAGGGTCCTGTAAGGGTTCCCTTCAGGCACCTAAAGGGTTTCCTTCAAGGGTCCTGTGAACGGCCACATTTTGTTTGGCTTCGCTTTGGGGTCTTTGTGGTGTTTAGGGTTTAGGGTTACTGGGGTTTATAGGGTTTGGCGACCCTAAACCCTAAAACCTCTGGGGTTTAGGGTTTGGGGGTTTAGGGGAAGGGTTCCCACAACGGTCGAAAGGGCCCTTTAGGGGTTCTTTAAAGGGGTCTTCGATGGATTCCCGAAGCAAGGTTTTTTTGGGTACGGAACTTGTAGGGTTGAGTTTATAAGGTTGTTCAGGGTTAAAGGGGTGTTCCATTGTTGCTCTGCAAGTGCCTGCAAGGGTTTCTCTCGTGAAGGTGATTCTACCCTAAACCCTAAACCCATTCAGGGTGTATGTGTTTCTTTCAACGAGTTTTTGCTTTCGGAATGTTTGGGTTTGGGGTGTCAGGTGCAGGTTCGATAGCCTGCATACAAGCGTTGCTGCAAGGGTGCGAAAGGCTTTCGGGTTCAGGATTCGGGGTTTATGCTGTACCTTACACTGCCAAACCCGACTTTTCTGTAGGTCCTTATTATAAACCCTAATATGGAATTTATAAGGACCCTACAAAAAAGTAGGTTTTGGTAGGTTAAGGTAGGGTTAGGGTTTGGAAAAAGAACAGCGCGACACCCTGAGCCGAACACCAACACCCGAAACTCGCAACCGAAGCATGCATAAGTAAACTCCAAGGTCCTATATAAGTTGAGGACCCAGAACTGTAAGCCCACGTGGCGACCTGCAGAAGGAAGAGGGGCGATGTGCAAAATGACAAGCAACGTAGACCCTACACCCTATGTAAACCTGTTCCCTACCTTAACTCCCAGATAACATGCCTGCTTGACTAATAAGGGGCCAAAAAGATGTAGGTTTTCTAGGGTAAGGTAAGCCTTGACAGCTTTCTTTCACGGCGGAACAGTTGCAGCGGGTCGCCTTTAAGCGATTGCTATTTTCGATTGAGCAGGCCGCAAAGGCAAAGCCACGGCAGCACTTGGGAAGAATGTATGCTGAGAATCCGAGCTATGTTGACTCGGCTTACATGGACTCACACGGTCAGCTGGAGTACCCTGAAGAGTACTGCAAGATCATGGCTGCCAACATCAGGTTTGCTATTGCCTTGGAGCTGTTCCGGAAATTTGCAGAGAAGCAGCAGCTGCCATCACATCACATCATACACGGCTGCCTGGCATGGCGCCTAACACCCATGCAGTCTCAGACTGGACCCATCGTCAAGAGGGCCATCCAGAAGAAGGAGGGGCACCTGCTGCGGTGTTTCCAGCGAGTCGCCGTCGCACATCCCCTGAATTTCTGTGGTAGCTTGCGCTATTGCAATGGGCATCCAGATGTTTGCCAGCTGTCGGAGTATAGGGTGCCCTCTGGGAGTTTCTGCCTTCACTGCTTCGGCTAGACAAGCTTCAGGTGCTCTGGCAGCATCCAAACTCCCGTAATTAAGGAAGATGCCTTGAATTACAGTCGGAACCCTTGTATGAGGTGTAGATTCTTGCTTGAGGGATTTTGGAAGGTTGGGGACCTTAACCCCTCTACCCTAATCCCCAAGCGCTAAAGCCGTAAACCCTAAAACCTAAACCCTAATCCCTAAGCCCAGAAACCATAGACCCTAAAACCTAAACCATAAACCCTATATACCCTAAGCCCTAAAACCGTAAACACTAAACTCGTAACCCTAAACCCTAATCCCAAAGCCTTAAAACCGTAAGCCCTAAGATCGTATCCCGGAAAGGTTTGTTTCGGGCTGCATGCAGCTCCACGGCCCAGCTAAGAGCATGCACCTTGGCAGCCAAAGAGTTTAGGATTGACTATGACGGTTCTTACTATTGTTACTGTTTATTACTGATTTGTTACTGTTGCTACTATGACTACTGTTATTGTTAAGCTACATTTATTGTATCTGTTGTTATTACTACGTTCGGGGTTTACCTAGTCCCCCAACTAACCTGAAATATACCCTAAATACCCATCAGTAGGGACCATAAGGGCTCCATTAAACGAGCTTTTGGGAGGCGTCCTGGTACGGTTCAGGATTTAGGGTTTGGGGTTTGCAGGATCAGGGTTTCGAAAATGATTTTCATGCCTTAGGGCAGAAAGGGGTAACGGTTTGAAACCTTTAGGAAGGGTTCAGGATTTACGTAGGGTTCAGGGTTCAGTCTTTAGGATTCAGGGCTGACGGATTTCTTACGTAAAGATCTTAGGACTACGATGCAAGGTTTAGGGAGTCACGAATGACCCCGACGCCGTTGGCGTCCAGGAGCCGAAGTGGCAGATGCAGCTGCGCAGAAGAAACGCCTCTACGGTCATATGTTACAACAAAATCGTTCAGTCTGCGCGTCATGGCGCCTTGCCGAAGAACCACTGGCAAAAATCCCTCTACATGTGGCCGGCACGACGAACTATGCGGATTGGTCCTGCGAGACATATGAAAAGCTGAAGCAGCGCTTAACCCTTTCGCACCCTGAACTCTATTGGTTGAAATCGTTTTACAGTAAACCACATAAAGTTGGAAATCGGATTAAGGCCAAATAGTGCTGGGATTCCCTATACATTACTCTTAAGGATGGAGGCTCTGGGGTTTCCAACTTTTGGGCTTCTACTGTATTATAGGCCGTCAGTGAGGATGTTTGACGAGGGTTGCGATCTTCAATTCCCTTACACAGCATAAATCCTCAACATATCAGAAACCAATACCTTAAGCACACTAAATCCGAAACCTAAAGCCCCAAACCCTAAAGACTCGTATTGCATAATTTAGTCCAGGTTCTTATTATAGTTATTCCCTTCGGGGTTTAGGGTTGTGGGTTTAGGGGTTTTGGGCGTAGAGGTTACCTTAACTAAAGCCCACGGAACCTGCTTCATGCAAGTAAAACGAATGTAAGATTCTTAGGATGTAGTTTTTCGCCATGGGAGCATGGGGAGTTGACTCATGTAGGGTTCTGCTGGGATTCTATAGGGTTTAGCAGGGTGTCTTTGCTTAGGGCTTGTAGCAGTGTAGCAAGCCCTAAACCCGAAAGCCTAAACCCACTTTAAGCGCAGGTCCTTGCTAGCTAGGGCAGTGACCTTGCGAAACACACCCGACATGTTTCGCCGAAATCCCACCACGCTGGAAGGCTGAGCACTAAGGTCATCAATGCCACACCCTAATCTTCATCCTAAACACTAAAGCGTTAGGGTGCATGAAAAAGCTGTATTCTAGATATCCGATTTGTAGGCCTCTATATTATATTGGACACGCGCATATCAGTATCCTCACGATAGGCATGCTCAACAACGGAGCAGCCCCAATATCGCAAGAATCCCACTGAAAATCCAAAACACGAGTACAACACTTACCCCAAGGGTCCAAAGGACCCACTAATTAGGTATTCTGTTTTAGCATAGTAGTTATGTAGGTTCGGACTTTGGAGAGTATATGATTCTTGGGTACTTGGACCCTTGGGGTTACCTCGAGCCCGCGAAGCGAAGCCAGTAGAGGCAGATGGCCAAGATGAGCTACGAGAACAAGCGCATTTCATCGTCTATAAAGACGCTGATGAGCCAAGCGCGGCCCTAAGGTTAGGAGGGCTACGGGTTGGGTTTGGTCTGTTTAGGGTTAAGGCTAAGGGTTCTTCTAAGGGTTTATAGGGTGTGACAGGGCCCTGCATGTTTTTCGAATTTACGGTTGGGGAGTGCAGAAGCGTTTCCTTTCGTGGTGTATGTACGGGAACAAACTTAGCAAGTTCAGGTTGGCTCAAGGATTCCGGCTTTCTAGGGCTAAACTGCAACTATTCTACTGCTGGTGTTTGATTTGTGTTTTGGTGGTGCAATAGCAGGAATTCAATGGCATTCAATGCTTAGGGGGTATACACCTACGATGAACAGACTTCGTTTGTTCCTCTCTAGAGCATCGGCGTCGTTGGGCGTCCTCTTTCAAGTCAGATTTCTACTGTTGATGCAACAAAAAATCCTGCAGTACGTTCAGGACCCAAAACTACGGGAAGTAAGGTAAATTCCTTATTATGGGTAATGCACGATTTGGGTGGTTGTCAATATTAGGGTTTCTTTTTGGGTCCTTATTATAATACGGCACCTGATATTTAGTGTACCCAAAAAGGGACCAGAATTTTGACAACTACCCATTTAAGTAGGATCTAGGACTTGGGCCGGGGCAGAGGGCTCAGGATTTGGAGCCATGCCCGGGTCCGTAAAACATAAACCCCTAACTATAGTCTCCTCAGGTTTTTTCATTTTTTGTTCATACAAAATCCAAGAGAGTATGAAACATAGTATTTCTATTATGGTTCAAAGGGGGGATTGGTGCTAAGGGTCCAAGTACCACTTTAGCAGGTACTTAGTAGGTACTTGGGCCCTAAAAGTATATGCTATACCGTTACTTGGACCCTTTGGGAACCCTGTCCGAGGTCAAAGACATGCAGCGGAAGATGAACACGGTGTTGTCTATGCGCACGGCTGTGCCTATGACAATCCCTGTGCACGACGATGTGATGTATATATAGCATCAACGACATGAGCATTCGCTAAATTCTCCGTGGCCTCGCCCTAAGGGGCTTGTGATCTATACCGAACTTTACTCAACACGGCTACATGTTTGCAATTTCACCTAAGTCCTCGGCCTAGCAGGGTATCCAATAATGAGATTGGACTGAAAAGACATACCTGTGAGCATACACTGCAGCGAAACTCGCCAATCCTCCTACATAGTTTATCCGCCTATTTGCGTAATTACGTTGGCACAGTCCTGACGGGCCACGTACTTGTTTGGGGCTCCAAGTGCCTGTACAGGAACCCCTGTAAGGCCAATGTGTATCGTACAGAGGTACATGGGCCCTACAAAGCCCTAGACTAAATCGTATGAAGACCCCAAGAGCCCAAGAGAACAAGGTTTGGTGCGCGGACACTTTGGGAAACCGTTTTCATCCAGCTACCCCAAACCCTTAACCCGAGACCAAGCCTTTTGTTTTTAGCAGGGCTTGGGCCCATATTCACAGTGTCTTCAACGGGCTTGATAGACTTTCAGGTGTTATATTTGGGGCTTAAGGGCTCTCATAATTAGACTGCAGTCTGGGGATGTACTGTGGTATGATTTCAGTGGATGGGCAGTAAGTATTCAGATTACCATACAACAGCTTTAATACTAATAATTAATACTAATACTGCTACGAATACTAATATGAATACTAATACTAATATTGATACTGCTACAAACCTACCACAGCCGCCACGATCCCGTTGGGATTCGTATTGGAGGTTCAGCTCCTCGGCAGGTGCCCGGAGGCTATAGCCGAGCGCAGCTTGGAAAGCCCTAAAGCCCGAGAGTCATCGCCAAACCTGCACTTGCCGCCCAACAAAAATTCGGAACGAGACCAGATGCATGTACTATGTGCTGAACTACAAACTGTGAACCTAGAAAGCAAGCAAAGCTTCTGTCGCCAAAGTTGCTGCTGCCTTCGTCACGCGTGTCGTGGACTCGTCGGGAATTGATGCTTGAAAGTGTATTTTGTTTACACGGGCATGCATACATCTATGGTTATGGGAGCGTCGTGTGTGTGTGTGTGTGTGTATGTATATATATATATATATATATATATTATACGCATATGTTCACATTTCGTTGAATCGTACTATTGGGTTTACCAGTGGGCAGTTTTGTGTTTTGTGGTCGTAGGTTCCTTATAAAATTACCCAACACCAAAGGTTGCTGGGGATCCTCCACTATCGTTTTAAAATACGTATGTATGTATGTAAGTAATAACAGCATACCCGAAAAGCTTGCGCCTCTCAAGCCTAGGTCCTAAATCCCCGTAAACCCGGAACTGAGACAACGGAGAACGCCCGGAGATCGGTTGGACAATGCACGACCACGATTCCCTAGGCATCGTCGGTCGGTGCAACTCCTTACCAGAGGGTCCAGGAAACAAATGATCGCGTACCTCCACATGAAAGACTAGCCTACCTACGAACATAGATCCCTAACCCTTGAACCCTAAACCCATGACTATGAAACCCTATATCCGTGGCTAAGCCCTTAACCCTCATCCCTTGTGGGAAGCCCCAGACGTTTTTGTCCAGGGGTGGAACAAGTCCTGCTGTTGCCTCAAGGATCCAAAGGACCCAGAATAAGGTACTTTGTTTGCGATAGTACTTATTTAGGTTGATATCTGGGAGAGTCTATGACTTGGACCCTTAGGGTTGTAGCATTCCTGGAGGTCGACTCGCAGCGTTCTTGGCCATTTCGAATACCAGAAACGAACGCAAGGGTGGTGAAGTTTGGGGGTTTATGGGCTCCTACAACGGCTTCCGTAACAGGACGTCTTTCCAGGCTCGACACAGTCAAACAGCAAGCTATTGTTGTTGCTTGCTCTTCTGTGGGGTTTATGGCTTTTGGAACAGGGGAGGTCAGGACGGTGGGTACGGGGCTTAGCTCGCAATTTTGAGGCTTGAGGTTGACATGCGACGTCAGGTCCGCATGAGCATCAGTTTACAGAAGTGTTGTGATGAGTCACGTCGGAGTCTTCGGATTGGGTTGCAGCAGAACGGCTTAAGGGCTCTTTAACATGCTTCCAGGCATGCTATCGTTAAACATCACGCCTTCATGAAGATGGGTCTGCTTGGCTGCAGGTAAGGTGCAGGATAAGAGGGTTTAGGGTTGTCAAGAGAAGGGTGCGGGTGAGCCGCAGCAGAAAACCTCAAAATCCTAAGCCGTTCTAAACCTTAGACCTTCCACCACACCCCAAACCCTGAACCTTTACACTCCTAAACCTTAAGTCTGGAATTTCTGAATTTCAGACCCAAACGTTGCGAGACTTCTCCTCCTGATTCAAGGATACAGGGCGGTCGGATATCCGATCACCCTCCCATCTTTTCTTCGCCTCAGTGGATCCAAAGTGTCCGATAACTGGGGGGGTTTCTACAGGGTTTTGTTTGAAGGTCCTGTAAGGGTTTTTCAGGGTTTAGGGTATACCTTAAGCCGGAAGAACCTACCTTTTTAAGTATAAGGAAATCATAATAGGGAACCCTAAAAAGGTAGGTTATTCCGGCTTAAGGTAGGGTTTAGGGTTTGGTTTTAAGGGCTCATAGTAGCCAAGCGTCCCTCATATATGCAGCAGCAACTGTTGAATTGAATTTCGCGACGGTGCTACCAACGAAGGAGTCATCTCCTCAAGTCTGGAACGCACAGGGTGGACAGAGGGACGCCCCGAAAGCTCAGGGAGCACACAGACCTCCAAACCCACAACCCAAACCGAAGCAAAACTTAAACTTCCGTGAACAGAAGGCCCTCAACGCAGAGTTATCTAAACACCGCTATATAAAGGCCCAAATTCCTGAAGCCCAAAGTGCCTCAGCATCCTTACGCCCTCAAGACTATAGTCTCCTTAGGAAACATATGTGCTTTCATTTATATTTTTGTTCGTATACAACCCAAGAGAACAAGAGAAGATTCAACATATTTATATTTTCTTTTATTACTATTTTTATTCTTACTATTAATATATTTTTATTATGGTTTAATTTAAGGGGGGTATAGAAGATCATAATTTATGTGCTATTTTGTTGTACCGCCAAGCCTCGAAACATCGGACCCTAGAAACCTAGCCAGTACCAGATATCCCGATACCCCAAGAAGGCCCCACATTAGTTTCGTAGGATGTACCTGGGCCAAAAGAAGGCATCCGGAAAAATCAGGTACTTTCTGGACGATGTAGATACTTGCATATACTATATAGATGCATGACATGGACCTTGTCGGGTTACGGCCACAAAACCCGAACAAGCCCCCGGTGCCCAATGAGAGCACGCACCAACAACTGTTGAGAGTATCAAATGTCGACGTAAAGCCTTCGTTTTTTTCGGATACTTGGGGTCTCTTATAGATGCTGTGGAACACGATCATTGACTACCAGTAAGGCCTTGTGGAAACCTTCAGTTCGCCAAGATCTGAATATTTGATGCCTCTGGTTTGCGTGGCTTTCCGGGGATTCCTATAGCGCGCATTATGTGAGCTCGCCAAGCGAACTCGCACGATGTAGCCAAGTGTAAAAGTCCTGTGCGTCAGGGCTTTAAAGTGTCAGTTGGAGGGGTTCCAGGACCCTCGGCTTTAGAGCCCCATAAGCCATGGTTATCAAAGTTTTTCTTGGTTTAGTTTAGGTTCCGGTCTGCAGTGAGTATTGAGAGCAGGATTAAAAGGCCTATCAGGTTTAATAGACTTGAGGGCTCTGTTCTTTACGGGTTTCGGGTTTAGAGTTCCTGTCTGTATGGGGATTATTTACTTCGGAAGGTTCCTTGCGCATGCTGTACACCAATTTTCAAGGTCCTAGCAACAGCTTAATGACACGGAACTCTATGAAGGTAGCACTCTTGCTCTGCGGCAACGACAACAACACTGGTAACAACATCTACTGCTTCTGTTGCTGCTGCTTTGATCTTGCTGGCAAAGACCATAGTATCAAGCACACAGGCTGGCACAAGCGCCATTCCCCTCGTCCTCGTGTGGCAGTTGCAATATGGTAATCATGGTAGATAATTTTGACATTGCTCTGCTATAGAAGGTCGTGTAATGTTTCGACCACACCACCAGAAATTGCAAATGTTTCCGTTCTCACTACTTAAGGCTTGCGCATAGAACTTCCGGACCTTGGACTCTGAAGCCCTACTCAACGCCCGAAATGCATTTACCCTTAGGGTCCCTCTGGAACCCAGAAACAAAGGGCACCTACTATAGGGGATTTAATAGTTGGAGTAGGGTTTTGGGGCGCGTTATGCTATAGTTATCAAGGCCACTATAGTAACGCATAGCAACCCTTTATGAAGCCTAACTACAAAGCTGCACAACTCTTGCAGGAATCCGCTAGATCCTAAATCCATACGGGCAAATTGGGTTTAGGTGTTTAGGGCTTGTAGAAACCGCAGAGGGTTTGGGTCGCGCCCTAAGGCCTACTTGGAGGGTCGGGGGAGTTAGTAAGTAGGTTATAAGTAGTGTTAAGTTTGCCTAAACTAAATGGAGTTACCCCCCCCCCCCCATTTTAACCCTACTTATAACCTTTCTGTATCCCCAAACCCTACAACATAGTAGGTTATGAGCCTCTAATTATAGGGCCTAACCCCTAAAACAGTAGGTCTTTGGATCTTCAGGTAATTATACATTACCTGAAGGACCCGAAACTACGGGAATTATGGTATATTCCTCATCATTGGTCATGCAGGATGTATATCATCAACCGTACTGTAGGGGCCTTAGTAACTAGAATAGGGTTCCAAAAGAGGGCTCTATATGCGGGTTACTGTAAGGGATACTAGAAGGGCTCTATAATGCAAGGGTTCTAAGTACTGCAAGTCCGGAGAAGAAGGAGCTACCGGCTTGGGCGCCGCCCCGAGTCCGAGAGAAGCCGCTGTCAGCGCTGACAGACGGCCGGGGAGCCAAGCGTTTAGGGTTTGGGGCTGAGGGCTTTTTGGGTTTAGGGGTTTAAAGGGGTTTTGGGGTTTAGGGCTTTAGAGGGGT